GCAACCCTGCACTTATAAGTCACTTTAAAAACAGAGAAAAACCCTACAACTCTTAACTGATGTGGCTCAGTTGGTTGGGCTTAATGCTGGTAAGTGAAAGGTCACTGGTCCGATTACCAGTCAGGGCACATGCCAGGGCTGCGGATTCAGTCCCCAGGCACGTGTACATGAGAAGCAACCCGTTGGTGTTTTTCTCTCACATTGATGTTTCTCTCCTTCTCTTTCTCCCTTCCTTCCCCTCCCTCTATAATAAAATCTTTAAAAAAAGAAAAACTCTACAAATAGAATTATCTTTCTAGAATATCCAAATTCTGCATTCTAGAACTAACCCCAGATCCAAGTATTTCTTCTCCAGCCCCTTTTTATTCAACTATTAAACACTCTCCTCAAATAACCATGCCAATGTGCTACAATGGAAAATTGCCTACTTTAAAATACACAGTCCCTTCGTGGCTTCCATCGTGCTTGCCCCGCTGTTCTCAATGTCCCATTCTACTCCTAACCAGAGTCCTAGTGGAACAAGAAAAAATCAAGTGGCAGCAGGTGGTATGGACAAAATGCTCCTTCTGCAAAGCAAACAGCCCGCGACGGACACTGCGTCACCGCAGACGCCACTGGAGAAAAGAACCACCTTTGGGAAAGGACTTCAATCAGCAACTACACAATAGCATGTTCAGTTCAAAAAGTCAACACAAATCACAGTTGCAGAGAAAACAACAATGGCTAACATTTAGTGAGCACTTACTAAATTGGCACAAACTCTCTTTGACATTATCTCATGTTATCCTTACAACAGACAATTCATCTCTGCAAAGACACTTTGTTATTGTCCTTTTTACCAGCTTCGGACAAACAAACATGATTTATTTTTCAACTGCACTTCATGTTCAATATTATTTTTTAAATTTTAAAAAAAGATTTTATTTATTTTTAGAGAGGAGAAGGGAGGGAGAAAAGGGAGAGAAACCTCAATGTATGGTTGCAGATTCTCGTGCGCCCACCTACTGAAGACGTGGCCCACAACCCAGGCATGTGCCCTGCACCGGGAATCAAACCTGTGACCCTTTGGTTTGCAGGCCGGTGCTCAATCCACTGAGCCATATGAGCCAGGGTTCAATATTATTTTATATTAGCTTCAGGTGTACGGCATTGTGGTTAAACAATCAAGTGCTTTACAAAGTGTTTCCCCCGATACTTCCAGTACCCACCCGGCACCATACAAAATTATTACAGTATTATTAACTGCGCTCCCCTGTGCTGTACTTTACATCCCATGACCGTTTTTGTAACGACCAGTGTGTGCTCCTCAACCCCTTTACCTCCTTCACCTAGTCCCGCAACCTCCCAACGCACGCTTTGGAGTCCTAGCCTGGTAATCGGCTTTACATAAAATAACGTTCTGTAAGTAGATAGTATCCTTGTTCAATGTAGGTAAAATAACACGCTGAACGAAAGTCACTCCCAGGTCATTCTCACTGCAGAAGCCAAGACGCACCCCCTTACCCTCGCTCTCTGTGACTGACACCGTATGTTCGCAGACCACCTTAGTTTTCAGGGCATTTTCTCTACCTTCTCTTCCCGCCTCCACCTATAAGTACACACTGTGCACAGAGTACTGTGCTAGGTACAAAAATAAGACAGAGGGTTTCCACTTCTGTGTTCTCCCCTTCTGCTGAGAACAACTAGAAAAGTTAAATAAATTATTTTTAAAGATCACTTCAAGCCCTGGCCAGGGAGCTCAGCTGATTCGAGTGTCGTCCCCAATATACCAAGGTTGCAGGTTCTTCTCCAGTCAGGCACATACAAGAGGCAACCATGAATGCATAAAGAGGCAGAAAAACAAATAGAGGTTTCTTTCTCTCTGGACTTTATAAAAATTAAACAGTTTTGAATATAAAAGGACAATATCCAAAATGTGAAAAGACAACATACAGAATGGAAGAAAATGTTTGCAAATCACAAACCTGTTAAGGGCTTAATACCTAGAATAATAATAAACAAAAAAACCTCCTAACACTCAACGACAAAAACACAACCCAACTTGATGATGGGGGGAGGCTCTGCATATGTGGGGACAGGAGGTATAGAAGAAATTACCGTATCTTCCATTCAGTTTTGCTGTGACTCTGTAACTACTCTGAAAATGTCTAAGAACAGCTAAAATGACAGATTTTTGTTTTACATCTATGTAACCAAAATTTTAATGTTTTTAAAAGTAAAGGCAACATAAAGGCAATTTAAGAAAAAAAAAATTGGGTTGGTTTCAAGGAAAAAGAAAATTACCCCAGATGGAAGCCTGAGGATACAGAGAGTAATGAAGGACAACAAAAATATAAATATATGGGGGAAATCTAAATTAATACTGATAATATAAAGTAATCATATCAGCTCTCTGGGTTTAAAAGACACATAGATTAAAGTAGCCAACATATGAGTTAGGAAGTAGGTAAGTGGAATTAGTGTTTAAATATCCTAAAGTCATTGCATGAGTCCAGAAGAGGCAAATTACTAATTTTCATTAAACTTTTATAAGCCCAAGATGCATGTTTTCATCTCTAGCATAACCATGGAATACTAAAATATATATAACTACCAAATTACTAGACAAAAAATAAAATAAGAAAAATAATCCAAGAGAAAAAAAGAACAGCACAGGAAAGTCAAAGAGAAAGCAAACAGTAAGATGACAGATATAAAACCAATATATTAACAATTAAGTGAAACTAAAATGGACTAAGTGTTCTTGATTGAAAGAGAGTCCACAAACACCATCATTGGGATTTTAAGGGGGATTACATGGAACCCGTAGATTGTTCTGGGTATTAGTGACATTTTTATTTAATACGTATTTTATTGATTGTGCTATTACGGTTTTCCCATTTTTTTCCTCCCCTTTATTCCCCCCACCCTATACCACCCTACCCCCAGCCTCCCCTCCCACCCCCTTAGTTCATGTCCATGGGTTTGTACATATAAGTTCTTTGGCTTCTCCATTTCCTACCCTATTCTCAACCGCCCCTGCCTATTTTGTACCAACTATTTATTCTGCTTATTCCCAGTACCTTTTCCCCCATTTGCCCCCTTCCCCCCCGCCCTCTGTTTTAGTGGCCATAGTTTTTTATCTTTTTCTTAGATAAGTCCCTTTAACATTTCATATAATAAGGGCTTGGTGATGATGAACTCTTTTAACTTGACCTTATCTGGGAAGCACTTTATCTGCCCTTCTATTCTAAATGATAGCTTTGCTGGAGAGAGTAATCTTGGACGTAGGTCTTTGCCTTTCATGACTTTGAAAACTTCTTGCCAGCCCCTCCTTGCCTACAAGATTTCTTTTAAGAAATCAGCTGGTAGTCTTATGGGAACTCCTTTGTAGGTAACTCTCTCCTCCCCTCTTGCTGCTTTTAAGATTCTCTCATCTTTTATCTTGGGTAACTTAAATATGATGTGCCTTGGTGTGTGCTTCCTTGGATCCAACTTCTTTGGGACTCTCTGTGCTTCCTGGACTTCCTGGAAGTTTATTTCCTTGGCCAGAGTGAGGAAGTTCTCCTTCATGACTTGTTCAAATAAGTTTTCAATTTCTTGCTCTTCCTCTTCTGCTTCTGGCACCACTATGAATAGGATGTTGGAACGTTTAAAGTTGTCCCAAAGGTTCCTAAGCCTCTCCCTCAGTTTTTGAATTCTTGTGTCTTCATTATGTTCTGGTTGAATGTTTATCTCTTCCTTCTACTCCAAATCATTGATTTGTGTCCCGGTTTCCTTCTGTTTACTGTTGGTTCCCTGTATATTTTTATTTCACTTTGCATAGCCTTCATTTTTTCCTCCATTTTACAACCATACTCTTCCAATTCAGTGAGCATCCAGATCACCAGGGTTTTGAACTGCACATCTGATAGGCTCCGCTATCTGTTTATTGCTTAGTTCTATTTTGGAAGCTTTGATCTCTTCTTTCATTTGGGCCATATTTCTTTGTCTCAGTGCCCCTGTTACGTTGGGAGGAGCAGAACCTTAGGTATTCGCCAGGGACAGGTGAACCAGGTTGATGGTTGTGACACGTCTGTGGGGGGAGGGGTCAAAGAGGGAACAATGCTGCTTGCTCAGCTCTCCACGGGCTTTCAGTCACTTCCCCAGCTACCCACAAGCTAATTGGACCCTTCTGGTGCTGATTCCCGGGTGGGTGGGTTTGTGTATGTTCTAACACCCTGTAGGTCTCTCCAACAGACTCTTCTCTGAGGCTGGTAGTTTCTCCGGCCCCTGCAATCCCTACAGGTTTTTACTGCCAGAGGTTTTGAGGCTTTCCTTTCCTGCACCGGAACCCGGGGTTGTAAGATCTGTCTCCTTCCCCAGCTCTTCCTCCTGTTTTTCCACACACGTGGGACCACCCAGTCCGCCAGCTGCCGCCTTGCTGCACATCCTCTCCTCCCTGGCTGCCCATCTCCACCCCTCCTACTCATCTGGACAAATTTTTCTTCTTTAGTTCTTTGGTTGCTGGACTTCCATACAGTTTCATTTTCTGGCAGTTCTGGTTATTTTTGTTTTTAAATTTGTTGCTGTCCCTCTTTTGGTTATGTGAGGAGGCTAAGTGAATCTACCTACGCCTCCATCTTGGCCCAACATTTTAACAATATTACTCTTTCCCTTCATGAAAATGGAATGTCTTTCCATTTATTTGTCTCATTTCTTTCAAAAATGTTTTGTAGTTTTCATGGTACAAATCTTTCACTTCCTTGGGTGAGTTAAATTTTAAGTATATTATTTTTTTTTTTAAAAAGATTTATTTATTTTCAGAGATAGGGGAAGGAAGAAACGAAGAGAAAGATCAATGCGTAGTTGCCTCTCATGCACCCCCCACTGAGGACCTGGCTGGCGACTCAGGCATGTGCCTGACAAGGAATTAAACCGACAACCCTTTGGTTCGCAGTCAGGCGCTCAATCCACTAAGCCCCACCGGCCAGGGCATATTATTTTGATGTGATATACACACATAATGGAATATAATTCAACTTTAAAAAGGAAGGAAACTGACACATGCAACAACATGGATGAACCTTAAGGACATTACACTCAGTAGAGGGAGCAAAAGGACAAACACTGCATGACTCCCCTTCCGTGAGGTACTAGAGCAGCCGACTCCACAGAGACAGGAAGTAGGATGGTGGGTGCCGGGGCTGGGGGAGTGGGAATGAAAACTAAGGGTGGGCAAAAGTGGGTTTACAGTTGTGAGTCCACAGACGCAGAGTTTACTCTTGTATTATCATTTATTACTGTATTATTTTCCACATGAGCAATTGTAATCCTACTTTTGCCCGCCCTGTATTTTTTAATGTATATGAAGTTCCAGTTTGGGAAGCTAAAAATGTTCTGGAGATGGACGATGATGATGGTTGCACAACAATACAAATGTACCTAATGCCAATGAACTGCACACTGGAAAAAATGTAAATTTTATTTTATGTGTATTTTATAACAATAAAAAATTAAAAAGACTGAAATCATAGAGTAGGTTCTCTATA